AAAAAAAAAAAAAAAACTCGTCCAGTTTACCATTATTGTTCTATCTGGTAGTAATGTGGATGATATGTCTACAGTTGTATTTGAATAATGTATGTTTTGATTGCCTGGTTTCTCTTTTGACTGAGTTCCTCTTCTTGCCTTTTTGTGTAGGAGGTGTCTTCAAGCTCGAACTCTTTTTGCCTGAAGAGTACCCGATGGCTGCTCCTAAGGTATTTAAACACATTAAGGACGTTTGACAAATTCCAGTTGATATTCTGCAACATTCGTTCTTGAAATGGTATCTCAAAGCTTTATAACGGATAAAGGAATATTTCTTTTTGACTAATCTTTCTTCAAGCATTGACTGTCACCTTATGCATGCTGGATCAGTTGTTATAGTGCTTTGATTTCTGTTCCTATATAAAGCTACAGTTAAACTTGTCTTGTAGTCGATTGGGCTGTTGCAGTTGTTGCATATGTAGTTTTTGTTTGTTTCGATGATATCCCTTTGCTAGCTATGTTTTGGCTCATCTTTTTGTTGATGTTGCCAGTCTCTGTCCTGGTGGAGTGTTATATCTCAATTTGAAGTGAGAAAATATTAGGCATTAGTCTGTTGTCTTTATGTCTGGCAATATGTTGCTACATTTTAACTTCCTGACGTTTATTTCCAGGTTTGAAACTTAGTTGTAAAAGCTTTGCTGCTTCCTTTTACCATGTTAATAGCTATACTGGTACCTAAGTGAACATGTTAGGTGAAGTGTTTATGCAGTTTGTACCTTTTTTTTGGATAAGGAAAAAAAGATAAAAATTTATGCTACCTTGTAATTTGATCATGATATTTGTTAATAAACAAAGTTTGATGTGAGATGTCTAGATAAAGAAGCTTGCGACAATCAAAATATTAAGGGACATACTCTTATCGATCCGTGACCATGTTTCACAACTTTGTACATGTTGGTTGCTTTTCTAGGAATACTATTATAGGTGACTGTTTTTGTCCCATTCTTCCATTTATATGCACTGTCGGGTTGTAAAAATGGTGTACTTGGGCTACCTGGATATTGGTCTTACTGGAACTATGAGTCAAGATACATATTAGTGCTAGAAGAAATAAAGTACTAATGATCAAAATTTTCTGATGTTTAAAGTTTGTTTCTATGTGGTAGTGGCGATTTACAAATACTATTGCAAAATTTTACCTAAAAACTTGATCTAANGTTGAAATCAAGCCAACTGGCACATCCAGTTTAAAGATGCTCATCCTTATTCAAAATGTGAGAGATGGTCATTCTTATTTGGAATAGGATCTTTCTGTTTGATTTTTTTTTTTTGATTGATAAAATGGAAGATCTTTATATTCGTAAAAGCTAAGCTTAAGAGTTTTATCTATAAGTAATGAGATGGGACCTCTTTTTGTTCTCTCTGACCTCCTACCATTACGACATCTCTTGCTTCCCTTGAGAACGGCTTCTCGGTGGAGGAGTAGAAGAAGCAGTCCCCTTCAGTCAACTTGCTTGGCATGTTAGTCAAAAGTGACATAGAGCAACAAAGGTTTCAGTATTAGTATTGTTTTACTTATCTACTAATGTGTTGCCTATCCTATTATTCACACTTTCATCAACATTTGGCCACAGTTGTTTGTATCAGTGGTTTCTATTAAACTTATAAAGAAAGATGCTTTTTTGTGAACTATGCAAACACTATTTTATTAAACTTCGGGAGTAGATTTTTCAACCCCCCAAAAAAAAATTTGCATCCTGGTGGCTGAGAAGGAATAGGACTAAGAAAACCCAGGTTGTGAAAAGATGTTTGTCAAGTTTGAATATGCTGCTGTAAGTTTGTGCTGTTTTTTTTAGATAATTAAATAAAAAATGAATTGACTTAAGACAGTGATTGATGGGGGTATGTCTCTTTGAGGGTTTGTTGGATATATTATGCTTAGTTGGCATTCAGACTTACAGTAGTTCTCTTAGGGGCAGTTGGATAATTGAAGATAAAGGATCTCATGACCTTGGTTCTGGCCTGCAGGACAGTTACTCAGGCCTTAAAATGTTAAGATTCCCTACTCTCGCAAATGTTTGGAAGTGTAGCAAAGGCAAGGCATTTAGTAGATGCATAAAGATACTAAATCTGGGAATACTGTCTGGGTGAAATTTTCCAACTTTTCTTGGGTGCTTTTCATAATCGTTTTTGTTGGATCCCATATTGGGTGGGTCTGGGTTTATGTCCTTTAAATGATCTGGGGCAATCGTCACATCATGAACTAGCTTTTGGGATTGAGTTACGCCCAAGGTCCGTTTCTTTAACATGGTATCAGAGCCAGGCTCACTTCAATATCATTGTTTATCCGATGTTGGGGGTCCATCTTATATTATCCACGCTCCACATGTCTAGTTCCGGGCCCGGGGGTTGGGGTGGGGGCAGGGGCAGGGGCAGGGGGCTTGGATCCTCACCTCATGAGCTAACTTTTGGGGTTGAGTTAGGCCCTTGGTCCACTTCCTTAGCAGGTTTCTAGATGAAGCACCTGGTGTCACTTAGTAGTTGCAGGAAGCTTACTTCTCAAACGATTATAGACTTCTACTTAAATATGATGTGTAGCCTCGATCTTAATAGTTGCAGATGTTATTTGCCTGTGCATGTTTCTTTTTCTTTATGCGTTTAACATGTCTATGAAGTTTTGCTATTTGTATAACGTCTGTATCATTGATCAACTTGCATCCTAACAGGTTCGATTCCTTACCAAAATCTACCATCCGAACATTGATAAGGTTTGTTGTCTTTTTCAACTCTTTTACACGTGGATATAAGCCAGAAAATACCTTGCTTATGTATGCCATTGTTGTGAAGCTTGGAAGGATATGTCTTGATATTCTTAAAGACAAGTGGAGTCCTGCACTTCAGATCCGAACTGTACTTTTGAGGTATTAAATATTGTATCATGTTTTGAAAGAGTTTTCTCATCTTTTTTCTAGGTACACTCCGTAAGATGCAAGATTGATGAATACTGTGAAAATGATCACATAACTTGAGCTTTTTAGTTATTAGAAGTTTAAATTTTTTTACTCCTGTTTCAGTATTCAAGCACTTTTAAGTGCTCCAAATCCGGATGATCCACTCTCTGAAAACATTGCAAAGCACTGGAAGTCAAATGAGGCTGAAGCTGTTGAAACGGGTACTTTGTATTCTGGTCTTTCTATTTACTGCCTCTAAATAGAAAATTAACATCTTCTGGTTATGCAAATTGATATACGCTTTTTTCTTCAATCCTTTGATTTGAGTTTCCTTTTTCTTCAATGATCCAGCTAAGGAGTGGACACGCCTATATGCAAGTGGTGCATGAAGACATAGCAACGAAATATTCAAAAATAACAAAAATTATGGAATGTATTCTATTGACTTGCGTATCAATATGGCACTTCGGATGGCTGTTAATGCCCGGACTCTTCGATTACCTCCCATAATTGCTTCCCTGCCCTTGAAATTGTATAATTTAATGTGACATCCGTTGGTTTTCCAGTTTTCAGGAATGAACTTCTTACAACAAAACTGGATATGGTTTTGAGAAAAGGATAATGTCACTGCAAGGGTAGTTAATGATTCAGATCTGTGGTTGGAATTGGAAACTAATGTTGCTGCAGCTGGTATGAACCTCCATAGATTTGTTTCAAGATAATGAATGTGCTAACCTAGAGATCAATGTTTGACCTGTTTTTCTTTCTTATTTTCTTTTTTGCCCTATCCTGGATCGCGTGCGTAGGTTTGCTTGTTTTTGTCCTACCATTCCAATCTATTGTGGGCACGGTTAGAAAAACCCAAAACAATTTTTTTATAATACTAAACGAAGATAATTCGAACACTAAATATGTGCGTCGGTTCCATTTATTCTCAAGGACAACTAGGTTTCTCCATCAGAAGCGCACTCCCTCCATTTCAGTTTATGTGAACTTATTTTTTTTTTTGGTCCGTTCAAAAAGAATAATCTCTTTCCTTGAAACAATTTAGCTTAGACTTTCAATTCTACCCTTAATGAGAAAGCTTTTATAATTATACAAATATTATGGATTTTTTTTTGATTTGTTTAAGATCACAAATTTCAAAATTTTTTATTTTTTTTAAACTTCGTGTCTAGTCAAATATAATCGAACATAAATTGTCACAGAGGAAGTAAATGTTTTATCTATACGTATATTCCATGATTTGGTCCAGCATCTTTGCTCTATATCCAATAATTGCGGTTAATTTCTGGCACGACTATTTATGTGACTTGTCCTTTTCAAGTGCTTAGGCTGCATTATCCATGACATGGTAAGAAGCTTGTGAGACATTTGCCTAGCTACAAGTAGAGATGGCAGCGGGCGGTTGCGGTGTGGGTTTAAGTTTAACCCGCAAAATTTCATCCCGCCTCGCACTTTTTTTTTTTTTTTT